AGACAGACAGACAGACAGACAGACAGACAGACAGACAGACAGACAGACAGACAGATAGGGAGGGAGGGAGGGAGGGGAGAGAGAGCAAGAAAGAGCACAATGGAGAGAGAGACAGAGAGAGAGCGGGGAGAGAGAGAGAATGAGAGAGAGAGACAGAGGGAGAGAGAGAGAGAGAGAGAGAGAGAGAGAAAGAGAGAGAGAATTACCACGAATTATGACCTCAGTAATACGATGAAAGACCCACTCTATGGGGTACCTGGATATCTGGATGTGTCATCTCTGACTCAGAGGTTGACGTGTAATGACCCTCCATCCTCCACGATCGCGAGCTACCGTTGCACATTCTGCCATATCCAGGCCTTATGCTGTCCATCCATGTTATTCTTTGCCTTCCTCTGGCTCTCTTTCCCACTTCTTTCCTTCAAGCACCTCTTCACAATGGCCTCGTGTCGTTTTAAGTGGCCAAAGTATTGTATTTTTCTACATTTTATTTTATTCAGAAGGGTTTGCCTTGTGTGTAGAATTTGACCTACCTCATTGTTTGTCTTTTTTGTTTTCCAACTTATTCTGGCCATTCTACGGTAGCCCCACATCTCAAACGCTTTTATTTTGTTTTCTTTCCTTGTCAAAGTTCAGGCCTCTGGACAATATTATAGGAATATTGGGAAGATGCAACATTCCAGCATTTTCTTTCTTAACTTGAGATAGTTGCCTGGATTTTAATAGTTTGTGCCATTGGCGTAATCTTGCTTTTGCAGTTGCTGTTCTTATGTTTCTTTCTTTTTCACTTCTTCCATCATCTGTGATTGTTGCCCCTAGATACTTAAATCGGTGCACTTGTTCGATTCTCTCTCCGCCTATGGTTATGTCTGTTGTATTTCCAGAAGATTTTGATAAGGACCATTGTTTTTGTTTTCTTGGCGTTCCTGTCGAGGCCTGCCTTACAGCTATTCACTTTTACTACTTTCACAACAGAGGCTAAACTTGTCACAGCTACTTTCACAACTTAAGAAAGATTTTCCTTCGTGCTTGCAAGCAGAACTACATCATCTGCGTACCTCAGATTATTTATGTTGCAGTCCCCCTATGTGACTCCCTACGTGTTTTGAGATTCTCTAAAAATAAACTCGGTATAGATGTTAAAAAGATAGGGAAAGAGGAGTGTCTCACTCCTCTATGGATTTGGGTATATTTTGATATTCAATGGGAAGAGAGAGAGAGGGATGGGAGCCAGAGAGGGAGAGGGAGGGAGAGGAAGCCAGCGACGGAGACAGACAGAGAGCTGTAAACAGACAGACAGACAGACAGACTGGGAGAAAGAGGGAGGGGAGGGACGCTTGGTCCATGAGTTACTATATTGTAGTGCACGCCGTCTAGATCAAGGCCGGAGAGAATGACGTACCCTTGAAGGTCACGGGAGAGTAATTGGACTTACTTAAACTAATTGTCGTCTGTCGAATGATCAACCCGCACGAAGATGGAAGGAGCGCCAGTACCAATGTGACCCCTGCAACTTGGGAGATGGATGAATGGGAAATCTGTTACTCTTCTATTAATACAATTTAGAATATTTCAGAAGGTGGTCTTCTTCTACCAAATAAGGGCCAACCGGGGCTGAGTGGGATTCAATATCACAGGAGGCAGCCGCAGATATTCAATACAA